GTGCTATTTTTTAACTAAATTTATTAATTCCAAAATATTTTAATTTATTTTACATATAAGTATGTTATGCCTGTCAGAAAATAAAGAACCACTTTTTAAGATTTGGCCAACAAAATAGTCTCCATGTATGTTATGGTCACAGCTGAAAGACAGACGCTACTGTAACCAGGGTAACCAGACGAAGTCTCGCGAGACTACCGTTCCTATCGAGAGATTGTTGTGAGGAAAAGTGGAAAACCGAATGATTGATGCACATGTAAAACGGCAAGTTAGCTATGTTTCGGTCACTGCTCGCCAAGCAGTACAGGAAAACGAGTGGAAATAGAAGGGTTTTGGATTGCGGGATGCATTTTGCACTTCTAACCGAGGGATAAGGCGGCCCGAGGAGGGTTAGTGATACGGTTAATTCCGCGATAGCTAATTCGGCTGCAGATGCTAACGCTAGCTCGTTAGCTTTGTTTACATCAAGTGCGCGCCTGTTGGGTAAATTCCAACCGAGCRAATTTGTGACGCTAGCAGCGTCTTTGCCCTCAACCGATCACTATCACAGGAAAATAGTCAGATTGTAAAAATAAACCTCTATGGCTATTTTCGACCATTTCTTAATATGAAACGTTTGGCTAATAATTAAGCTAACTTAGCTTTATGATGCTAACAATTTCACCATCATGGCTCGCTCGGTTTCTTTTTTAGCCCATATGTTGCGTCAGGGTTGTGCGATTTGTCACATAGTTTGCAACTGATGGACTTTTAAATTGCATTTTGAAAGAACTCAAGGAAAGGAAAGAAAACGACCACAGAAACCGAGGATGCTAACGTGAGCTAGCTCCTGCTGCGCTAGCTAACGTTGTGCGCGTTATTATTAACAGCGCTTTCATTGTGATCGCTACTTGCATCGTGTTAATAATTTATTATGGCATTCTGCGTCGACATACTACAGTGATTATTATTATTATTTTGCATCACCAAGCCGCTTTTTCCCCCTCCTACATCCTGACGAAGGTTGACTTTTTGCTGCGTGCGGCTGGATTTAGCCCCCCGGACAGTGTTTTTTTTTCTTCTTCTTCTTCTTCCCTAACGCTGGGAGACAGACCGCTATGAATCCTGTGAATGCAACCGCTCTGTATGTGTCTGCCASCCGGGCAGTGCTGCAGTGCGACCCGCGGCAGCCCCAGACTTTTGCAGAGATGTACAAGCAGCTGCCCTTCTTCCGACAGTCCCTGGCTTGTCTAGTCTGTGGTAAGCATCCCGAAAAATGTGCAAAATAGCGCACAGTCAGTGTTGTTTTGTGCAACCACGTCCCCGGTTTGTTTTGATAAATTTGAAATGCATGTATTTTCAGTCTCTGATCACTTGCTTGTTATTCATGTTGAGTGTATTTCTGTGGGCGTGAGTTTGCAGCAGCTTTTCACGATTTCTCGCGTTTACAACTGTGGTCTCCTTAGCAACAGAGGCTGTCCTGACAAGACAGATGACTCCTCTGTTGTGCTCGCGCTGCTGAACCACGTGCTTCCTATTCATGCTTTATTTACTCTCTGACTCTTAATGCTGACGCAGCTTAGAGTACAAGCAGTACTCAAAAACACAACATTTGTGACAGAAGTTAATTTGTTAGTGCTTTGGTTGTGGTTATCTATTTATGCCTTTTATGGAGATATCTGATCTGTTTTGCTGGTTTAGAAGTAATTTACATTTTTATGGCAGATAAAAAAGTTATTAAATCCGCTGAAGTGCTTATGCTAATAAATAATTGTCTGAAAAAMCAACCTTTTTTATGAAAAAGGACCATAAAGGATTTGTATTGCAAATAGGCCTGTCACGATAACAAATTTTGCTGGGCGATTAATTGTCTCACAATTTATTGCGATAAGCGATAATATTGCCT